TTATCAAATAGTTCAACGAGAAACTTTCCGAATCACCCAGGAACTCTTCATTTTTATTTCAACGAAAATTTTTGGACACTAGTGGGTGTAGTATGAGTTATTTGAAGTACCTTATGTCTAAAAATAATACCGCGCTTTGCACGTGGAGTTTCGTTCATTACTGAATATCAATTTCTTTATTAAGCAAAGTCGCAACCTATTGTAAAACATATTGTTGTTTGTAGACGATTCATAAGTAAAATAGACACACATTCTAATGCACCGACTCTTAATATTTGTCTACTGCAAATGTGCCGATCATTTTACTATTCTATTTCTGGTTTATACCCTATTATGATAATGATAATGTTGGTGATGATGCTGATGATGATAACAGTGTTCATTATCATTATAATAGTATGAATAATAATAACATTGATAATACTAACAGAAACAACAGAAACAACAAAAACAACAAAACAACAACAACACTAATGACAATAATAATAATAATAATAATAATAATAATGATAATAATAATAATGATAATAATAATAATGATAATAATAATAATAATAGTAATAATAATAATAATGACGATAATAATGTATGTATGTATTTATGTATGTATGTATGTATGTATGTATTTATGTATGTATGTATGTATGTATTTATGTATGTATGTATGTTTATTTATGTATACACATATATATACATGTATAATACATATATATGTATACGTATAAATACATACATACATACATACACACACACACACACACACACACACACACACACACACACACACACACATATATATATATATATATATATACACGTGTGAGTGAGTGAGTGCGTGAGTGAATGTGAATTCAAGTGAGTGCGTGTATGCATGCGTGCGTGCGTGAGTGCGTGCGTGCTGTGTGCGTGTGCGCGTGTATGTGTACATATGTGTGTGCATTTACGAAAAAAGACAAATGCTTTGTCGTGTACATAATGAATGGAAGTAAAATCCTCATCATCATCACAATAATAATAATAAAATACATAAATAAAACATGACACTAAAGCAATTTCACAAGGGACCTACTTTCCTGTCTTTGTTTGAGTAGTACAGAACGCGTGCATCTATTTTTAGCACTGTACACACACCGCCCCACTTGTCTGTGCCTTGGATTGTGTAGAAAGAGACATGAATGAGGATAAATATCTTCACTGCGGTGATTATTTAGCACTTTTCGATTAGAACTTCGTGAGAAATGTTGGCGTTTCTGATCAAGACCTCAGTCGAGACGAGTCAACTGCATCTCCTGTGCTCCGGACATATTTATTCTCACTTTTTTCCCCAAACTTTTTTTTTCCTTCTTTTCCTTTTTTTTTTCCTTTTATTTTTTTTTCTTCTTTTCCTTTTAATTTTTTTTTCTTCTTTTCCTTTTTTTATTTTGTTTATTTTTTATTCTTTTTTTCTTTTTTACTTTTTTTTTATTACTTCTGTCACAATTCATAACTTTTTCTAAATTTATCTCAACAAAAGCTGTTCATCTCGGTTTCATGTATTAATGGATAGGCAGATGAACAGACGGACAAATGAGATATGGTTATCTTTATCAAATTCATCATTAGGGTTCCTGGCTATAGTTAGTTTTATTGTTATGATTATACTAATACTACGAATGATAAAGATGATGGTGGGGGTAATAATGAGAATAATGATAACAATGAATACAATAATAATAATAATAATTAATAATGATAATAATAATAATAATAATGATAATAATAAAAATAATAATAGGAATAATGATAATATTAATAATAATAATAAAAAATAATAGTAATGATAATAATAATGATACTACTACTACTACTACTAATAATAATAATAACAATAACAATAATAACAATGATAACGATATAATAATAACAACAATAATAATCATAATAATGAAATGATAATCATAATCATAATGACAGTCACAATGACTATGATAACAACAATAACAATAACAGTAATAATAAAAATAATAGTAATGATAATGAATAATATAAATAGTATCGATAATAAATAATAACACAAATAGTATTGATGATAAATGATAATATAAACAATAATGATGATAAATAATACTATAAGTAGTAATGGTAATAATAATGGTGGAAATTATTACAATATAACAAAAATAATTATAGTAATAATAAAAAAATAATGGTACTACTAATAATTCCACAAATTATAACGGTAATGATAATAATATTATAATGATAATTATATTATAATTATCACCTGTGTTACAATAGCAATAATCGTATAATCACTACCATTATTACTGTTATCGTCACTAGTATCATTAATATCACTAGCAACATTATTAGTGTTTGTTGCTCTCATTCTTATTATCATTATGACAACTGTCATTAGTTTTAGTTTAAGTAATGTTATCATTACCATTATTACCATTATCCATATTATCAAGGGCCATATTATGATCATTAGCATTGATATCATTGTTATTATCATTACTATTACTACCATAATTATTATCATTATAATTATTACTTTATTAATTTCTGCTGTTTATTATTATCATTTGTACGATTTCCATTATCAGTTATTTTTCCGTTACCATTGTTGTTGCTATAATCCTTATCATTATCATCACAATTATCATTACTTATGTCATTATCATCACTGTCCTTGACTTCTTCACTATCATTACAATTTCTGTTATCATTATTCTCGCCGTCATTATTATTATCATTATTATTATTGTTGTTACTATTATCATGATGGTCATTATTATCATTATCATTAACATTATCCTCTTTGTAATTACCGTTATTTGTATTCTCACAATCAAAATTATCATCATCATCATCGCAACGACTATTCTTATTATTACTTATCAATTATATTTTTATTATCATTATTATTGTTATCATTATTGCTATGATCATTGTTAATGTTTTTTTATGAATATATCTGCCAGTGCCATTATTATGTTGTCATTATCATTATTGAAATAATCACTATCACGATCATTATTTCCATAATTATCGAAGACTAGTGCTGTGACGTTTTGTATATTAAACTCTCATGACTACTCATTATCTAATCATTATAGAATTTGGGCAAAGAGTCAGTAAGCTGATTAACTAGTTAATAAGTACTTGCCCTAATAAAGGCCTGTAGTTGATAGTCATAATATGAAACGAGTTATCGTAGTGGGCTACAGTTATCCATGCAAAGTTATAAGCAGAAGGGTTGAATGGTTAATGGTTAAAGCAAATAAATATGCTACACATCAAATGTTATATAGCTGAGGTCCAAGATAAAGGGGGGGGGGGCTGAAGAGGAATAGATCTTGGAAAACCCTACGGGAACGGCACGCCCAGTTTCGATTACGGTGGCTAGGGCTGTACATAATAATGACGATGGATAGGCACAGGATCGATGTCGTCCCATAGGCATTAATGGAAATAGGAAGGAGGTCGATATAAAATGGAGAACAGCCACTATTGGGCTTTGGTTTGTACTACGGTCGTTTTGACAGACTCTACGTTTATGTTCCCATACCTTAAATTTCCAAAACAGTAGAGTTTAAGGCTCAAAAGCGTCTGTTGTCGACTTCCACGGGTCGATGAATTATCGAGAAACACGAAAATGGACTGACAGACAAAGAAAGTTGCCGATTCGTGATATAAGCAGCAGGAAATGTTATTGTAACTTTATGTGCAAGATATGTTGTAAGAGCTTTAGTCTCGAAGGTAGTCAGTTACGCTATTGCTTTAAATCAAAAGTATTTCTCTGACGCTTACAGATACGTGTTTAAAAATAGTATTTGAAAAAAAAAAATGCATTTCAGGGAATAGTTTTACAGTTTAAGAAAATAAGCAATGAAAATACTATAAACTATGCCTAATAATTCAATTCATACTGTAAAGTTCACACCTACAGCAAAACTGCTGAAAAAAATTGAGAGTTAAACCCAAGTAGCTCCACCTCTAGCTAGCTTACTGAAACCGAAAATGAAATTGATGTTTTCCTTCAGAGTATTTTGGCGGTTGTTAATGGTAAGGAACTATAATTATTTAATTATAAATAAGAGCGGAATTTTGGTTTTACTTCTGGTAATCATAACAATATTAAGTAAGTTGTAAAAGTAATCATGTATCTAGTTGTTTTTGATATCTCACGGTGCATTCTCATAGGCTAAACGTGGTTACCAACTACGATTTTCATGTAGATGGAGTGGGTCTACCTGTGTAAACATACCTTGGTCAAAACAATCATGAATACCATTTGTGCCTGAATTTTCAAAGGGAAATTTGTTTATGTCTATGGGTAGATACGCGCACGCAGACAAAGGTATGCATATACATTCTTACAGACAAACACACATATATATGTGGGGGGAGCGCGCGTGTGTGTATATGTTTATATGTGTGTGTGTGTATATATATGTGTATATATATATATATATATATATATATATATATATATATATATATATATGGTACATAGCAATAGGAAAGACGTTGGACAAGGGAAATGACACAGAACGGAAATACTAAACGTAAACACACGAACCGAAAGGGCAAGACCATTGGGTTAAAAAACATATCCTCGGTCAAGGTTCGAATGTTGACAGGAAGTTCATATAGAGATAAATTTCTTGTTGCATTATCAGTTGCTCTCTCGGCTGCGTTGTAGTCGGGTCTGTGTAACTGCTGATTCCCCGTTTATTTATCTAGTGTTGGACTTGGTCTGTGAGTGCAAATATGGTTATAAGATTCGCGTAAGAATTATCGTTCGGAAGTGGCCAATTGGTATCAGATTCCACTATCGTAGCGCGTTAGACTTCCGAAGGCATTTTTATCTGATGTCTCTGAATTACACATACACACACATAAACAGCACATACATGCATCATATCATATATAAACACATACATACATATACACATACGCGCACACCAACACACACATACACACACATATATACATATGTGTGTATGTGTGTGTTGGTGTGAGCGTATGTGTATATGTATGTATAAATACATACATACATATATATATATATATATATATATATATATATATGCGCGTATGTGTCTGTTTACATATATAAGTATATACATATATGTAAATATATATATATATATATATATATATATATATATATATATATATATGTGTGTGTGTGTGTGTGTGTGTGTGTGTGTGCGCGCGTTTTGGTGTGTGTGTGTAAAGGGTATGGAAGGACCTCTAAACATTGGTGACAGGGAGTAGTAAAAGCTTGGATGGCTTAATCTCTTTATTAAATATAAGAGTCAGCCCTGACCTGAACCGGACAGGCGCCGACCTTGGGTCAGCCAGCAGCAGGCACACTCTTGTCTGACAGGGGTCACCGGCGAGCCCACCTCAACGGCAGACCAGCCCAGCGGGCTGTTGTGACCTTGACCGCGCCGGGTCACACTCTCACTCCCTGACCGGTCAAGTGTGGTCCCTTATATCCGATGAGGGCTTGGAGGGGGGGCAAGGAGGACCGCCCATCCGTGGGGCACGCCGCTTGGGTTTGCCTAGAGTGGGCGCCACGTGCTACAGCGAGCATCCACGTGGGCAGATAATACCGATATAATACAGAGTATAGTGTGTGTTTTGGTGTGTGTGCGTGTTTTGGTGTGTGTGTGTGTGTTTTGGTGTGTGTGTGTGTGTTTTGGTGTGTGTGTGTGTGTTTTGGTGTGTGTGTGTGTGTGTTTTGGTGTGTGTGTGTGTGTGTGTGTGTGTGTGTGTGTGTGTGTGGGTGTGTGCGTGTGTGTGTGTCTATATGTATGTCTATATATATGTATATAGTATATGTGTATATATACACATATATATATACACATATATAAGTATATTCACATGTATATGTACATGCATATATGTATGTGCGTATATAAAGAGTGAGAGACATACATATATATACACATACATATATATATATATACATATGTATGTTATACGTACATATACATATGTATGTTATACGTACATATACATATGTATGTTATACATATATATGCATGTATATATACATATATATACGTTAATACACATATATACATATATATACATATGCATATATATATATATATATATATATATATATATATATATATATATATATATATGTATGTATATATATACACATACATATATGCGTGGGGAGAGGGAGAGTGAGGGAGTTAGGGAGGGAAGGAGGGAGGGAAGGAGGGAGGGAGGGAGGGAGGGAGGGAGGGAGATGGAGAGGGAGAGGAACAGAGGTTGGGGGGGCAGAGAGAGGTCCACAGCCTATCATAAATAATAGAGAAAAGGACGGAAAGCGCTATGCAGGGATGGTGCTTTCGTCCCCGAAGAGCACACTAGACAGAGACGCAGCGCACTGCGTATTTTCACTTTTTGTTTCTGCACTTGTTTCTTCCTTTCCTCGGGGGAAGGGGAAGCAGAGAGGAGTGAGTGAGTGAGTGAGTGAGTGAAGTGAGTGAAGTGAGTAAGTGAGTGAAGTGAGTGAAGTGAGTAAGTGAATGAGTGAGTGAAGTGAGAAGGGGAGTGAGAGGGGGAGGGGGAGGGGAGGGAGGGAGGGAGGGGGAGGGAATGAGTGGTGGAGCGGGATAATGGGAGAGAAAGAAGGAAAGGTTGAAGGTAAGGGAGAGGAAGTGGAAAATGATATAGGGAGGGAAAGATGAAGGGAGAGTAAGAGGAAGAGAGGGAGAGAGGGGGCAATCGAGGAGGGGTAATGGAAAAGACATAAAAGGGGAGGGAGGGAGGGAGAGGGGAAGGGGGGGAAGTGAAAAGGAAGGGAAAAACCGAGGGGGAGAAGAGAGAAACATAAAGAAATACTACTACTTTACAGTTACCTAAGGTTTATTTACTTTAAACATAGGTCCTCGTTGTGAATCATTGAAAGGACAGCTGTCCGCTCTACATGAAATTATAGCGTAATAAACTTTACAACTGACGTTAACACAGGATACATAGTAAATACTATTAAGTGATGTGTAACTGACTAGCCACATAATAGTAATTGAAGTTACTAACAAATGTCAAGATGAGATGTTTTGTAAATCTTTTCAGTATCAGTTCAACGTATTTCCTTACCTGTATATTGAATGGATAAATAGTTTAGTAGCTATTTAGTCTCATTTATAATAAAGCGAAAATCGTATACTGCCGCGCTTATCCACTACGGCACATAGGCTACTGTATCATACAGCAGGGATATTTGTATCGACCGCCCACAACGGAGCGGGGAAGATCGATATATTTTTATCTTCGCGGTAATTCCAAAAGGCTCATAAACCTTCAAAAATATTTTCTACAAATGAACACGGTTCGAGGGAAATTACAAACTACCGAAAACTCTCGGCGACATCGGAATTCTCAAAACATCGGCATATTAGCTCATCCCATTTCCCTCGGCGTGGCCGTCGACAAACTGGCACCCTCCTGCGAGTGTCGGTGGCGAGGGCCCGAGCGTTG